CCTGATTTGTGCTCACAAAACATCAGTTGGTAAATACTGCCATCTCGTGGACAAAAACAATATTGTAATTCACCTATTTATTATAAAAAATATTTATTATTTTTATTCTTGGACATGTTTTATGATTTTTTACTTAAAAATTATTTAGTATTTTTGAATCTTCTTAAATATACAATAATCCTTAGTGTAAGGCTGTCAGCCATTTTTGTTACCTTTTGCCTGTTTGAAACAAAAAAGGARGTGTCAAACAGAGTATATTTAGCTGTGAGGAAGCCTGGCTTTAATCATATAGGTTTTACTTCAACATAAAATCAAATATGGACAATCTTTAGTTTATTTCACTTATATTTTATTCAATATAAAACAAGGAAAAACAAAAAAACAAAACAAAAATAAATTCAAGTATTTCTCTAGCAGTGACACATCTTCCTGTTTTTAGTCAGCGTTTCACACAGTGGCTCCAGCTCCACCCATGGGCCCCCATGTGATGCAGTGACAGGGTGAGGCTCCGGGTGCACTTGTCTCTGAGGGTTCAGCAGCTCCTCAGAACCAGGAGGCCAGGGCTGTCGACCGGAGGGGAAGGTGTAGTTTGACCGCAGCCATGGACTACCAACTAAAACTGGCTGAAAAACTCACCATCCTCAATGAGAGGGGCACTGGGGTGCTGATTCGTATGAACCACATTAAGAAGGTGAGGTGAAAGAGGAACATTTGACGGGCAAACAAGAAATAAGGAACTTCTTGTAATTTACATTATTATTTTTGTAAATGAAGCTATACTGTATCTGGATAAACTCACTACGAATACAACAAAGTAAAAAAAAAACTTATCTGAACATGTTCTACTTTAGGCCTGCTGCAAAAGAACAGAAAGTTGTTGATGTTTTGTAGTTGTCTAACAGTCTTTATTTTTTGCTTTTAACTGAAGTTGTGGTTCATTAACTACTACTGGAGTTTTATTMTTTTATTTTACACTACAAAAAAGGGTGAATATTATAATATACTACTTTAATACATAAAGGAACACAGTTCAGACTAAGAACTATGATCAAATCTGCAGTTTAATGAATTAACCCTTACTATACTGRGATGAATCGGCAATCTAAAATAAACTTTCTGCTGTTCTTTTGCACCAGTTTGTGTTTTCTGTCTTTGCACTGTGAGTATTTCTGCCTCCAAACTGCAACTTAACTTATTTCTCCAAAGAGGAAGTGTGAACAGGAAGTCAGCGTGTGGTGTTTGTCATCTAAAGCTTCAGTTATTCTGAACTGAAAGCTCAGACACTCACCCTCAAAAATGACAAAAAGAACACACAAAGACAACATAAAGAACAATTAAAATAACATTTGTACATTTCAGTCACTGTCTTTAACTCCTGTCATCATGAGGCAGAAATGTAAAATGAGCTCGTGTCATATTTGTTAAATTGTTAAAGTGTGAGACACTTTGCACCACCCACCATTAACTGGATCTTCTGTCCAATACGTGACTATTTGAGTGTGCTACATCATCAGCAAYGTTAACATGAACTGAATCTTTTATTTTGGAAGCTGTGATGCCTGTTTGCTGTCTGCTATTCAAACATGAATGCTCCAATTTAAACTAATTCAGCAACAAAACTGTAAAGAGAGCACGTAATCATAGATTATAAACAGAAGAAATATGGAASTGTTAATTTAAACCAGTGTAAAGAAAAATCAGAAAACAGAAATATGCATTATTATTCTTTTTGTCCCCATCATCCCCTCCTTCAGACCTGTTCAGACCCCAAGCTGCGGCCAGCCTTCCTCACTGATAAAGTGATGGAACCTGCAATCAAATACATCAACAAGAAGTTTCCCAATATTGACTTCAGAGGAAACATTGTAAGCATKAAACTGTTTTAGAGCTGGATTACTTTTCTCATTGTTTTGCATTGTGATTGTAACTTGTTTATAAAGATAATATCTATTACAAAATGATTTATTGAACACTTAATGACATCCTATCAATATGTTTTTTTGACAATTATGCAAAAAAACCTTCTTTCTTATTCATAAAAACATCCATCCATCCATCCATCCATCCATCCATCCATCCATCCATCCATCCATCCATCCATCCATCCATCCATCCATCCATCCATCCACTAAACCGACAAGTATATGTATTAATTTCAGGTATTCACTCCAACCTGTCATATGTTTATTGTTGTTTGTTGCAGCAAAATCTGACGAGCATCCAGCGACAGAAATCTGAGGTGCTCGGAGCCACAAGCAGCTACTACGACTCTTTTCTGGA